CCAAAAGTATTTGCTCGCCTAGGACTGGACCATATCATATTGTTCACGATAATACCGGTAAAAAAAAGTTTGCCCGGGAAAATAAATATCATGATATGATAAATGGACTGTACTTATATAGCGCCTTTCTATCTTATCGAGATGCTCAAAGCACTTTACACTACAATCTGTGTCCTCATTTACCCATTCATACAGCATCCTACTAGATCTCTACAAAGCTAATTTAACAAATCATTCTAAAGAGACTAATCAGAGCTTTTATCACATTCATAAACTGATGGGACACACATCAGAGGCAATGAGGGGTTCAGTGTCTTGCCCAGGGACACTTCAACATGTGACTGCTGGTGGATTCGAACCCCCAACTCTTGCATTGGAGGACGACTGCTCTAACTACTCAGCCAACTGCCGCTTAGTGTTAATTTCATGACGCAAGTTAACAGAACTGAGCGCTCCGAACTACTGAACCGAACTGCCCCCCCCCCCCCAATCCACCTGTTGGTACTGGCGTAACACTAATTCACCTCTGGAAGCCTCGACTGAGCTGTGCAAGAACTTCTTACATTTCTTTTTGGAAAAAATTACGACCACCCAGGCTTTCATTTCCCCTCCAACTCATGACCCATCCATCCCACCTCAATCTGTAGCTCTATTTGACCATTTTGAACCCATCACTCTATCTTCTCTAGAGCAGGTCATGTGCAGCTTGAAACCTTCTGCTTCCCCTTTTAATGTGGTCCCCCCTCAACTACTAAATGAGGTTTTTCGTACTCTAGGTCCGTCCATTCTGGCTATAGTAAACAGTAGTTTATCCACTGGCATGGTGCCAAAAACCTTTAAACATGCTGCTGTCCAGCCTCTTCTGAAAAAAAATCAAACCTTGACCCCTCAATCGTTTTCAACTTCCGGCCTGCCTCCAAACTCCCATTTGTCTCTAAAATACTGGAGAAAACAGTTGAGTCCCAGTTGAACTGCTTCCTGGAGGATCACGCCATCTTAGAGTTATTCCAATCTGGCTTTAAACCTCTTCACAGCACTGAAACTGCCCTATTGAAGGTTTTTAATGACATCTTCAGATCCACAGATACCGGTGATTCTGTGCTGCTTGTCCTATTGTACCTCACAGCTGCCTTTGACACCATCGACCATGAGATCCTCATTGCTAGGTTGGAGCAGTGGGTGGGCATCACAGGGTCAGCCCTCAATTGGTTCAGATCCTACCTCACTGACAGATCCTTTTGTGTCTCTATCAAGGATTTTAGGTCTGCAGCGACAGAGCTTAAATGGGGGGTTCCGCAGGGGTCCATCCTGGGTCCCCTCCTATTCTCTCTATACCTCCTGCCACTTGGTGCCATTTTCCAGAAACACAACATACCATTTCACTTCTACGCCGATGACTGTCAAATTTACTTCCCCCTAAGACACAATGGTACATGCTCTATTTGGCCTCTGCTCGACTGCCTGGCTGACATCAGTTTCTGGATGGCTTTAAACTTCTTAAGTTTCAATGAAAAGAAGTCTGAAGTCATATTGTTCCCTCCCAATGACATGATCACAAACCACTGCATCGACCTTTCCACTCTAACCCTGTCAGAAAACAAAGAGTCACTAATCTGGGTGTGATAATGGACCCTTCCCTGAAACTTAACAATCATGTAAACATGATTGTTAAATAATGTTTTTTCCAACTGAGGCGGCTGTCTAAACTGAAGCCCATATTGTCCAAAAATAAACTGGAGACAGTAATACATGCATTCATTACATCTAGGCTTGATTACTACAATTCACTCCTGTTTGGTATCAGTCAGACCTCCATTGCACGACCACAACTGGCCCAGAATGCAGCAGCCCAATTTTTAACCAGTACAGGCAAAAGAGAGCACATTACACCAGTTTTGGCCTCACTGCACTGGCTACCGGTTCACCTTCGAATCCAGTTCAAAATACTCATGTATGTCTACAATTCGCTGAACAGTTTT